CATTTAGACCTGCTTTTGAAATATCTATATTGGTCTTTATCAAAAAAATGCATCCTTTCTACTTATCAATTTCTTCTCCAGATTCCCAACCATCATACTAAAACCTCCTCTCAATTTCTGATTAATCAGCAAGTCACCCAGGTTCTTCCAGTCCATGTTGAAAAAAATCATAATATCATGCACATGAAGCCAACTGCCGACCATCCAAACATAACAGCCAATCATGGTCAATTTCCAAGCTTTGTCAGAGGTACACAACCTAGGGTTCTGGGTGAACAAAACAGACATTTAAAAAGATATGATTTTAAAAAAAAACAGTGACCATGAAGCCAAAGACACGTGGTGAGCCCTGGTCTATTTGGTCATTTTTTGCTGAGAAGGAGACACATAAATAGCAAGCATGGAGAACAGAAACATGTTTGGTGTGGGTTTGGAAACAGAGAGAGGAAGAGGATGCCAAGGGTATTCAGCTGCTGGCTGTTTGCTAGCAAGTCAACATCTGTCAGGATGCAAGATCTTCAGGAGAATTTGTCTATATCCAGGTGTGTAACTCCACCCCCTGGAACCTCTTTCAAAGCAGCTTTTGATTTGGCAGGAAAATCCAAGATCCACGCATCTCGCTGAGAAAATAATTCCCCTACAATTCCTCTGAGTGGCTGGATTTGCAGTAGGAAGGATTGTGCAGGGGGATGCTGTTCATGAGCAAAGATTACACTTTCCATTTATGAGCCATCTGTAATGAAGTTTGTGCAACTAACAAAGTGGACACCACCAAAAGTGTGACGTGTCCTCCTAACCAAAAGTACATCCCAGAACATGCTACATTCTGTGTTTCCTGGTAAAAATTCATAATTATGTGTCTATTACTGTTGATGTTTCATTACTGGCCTTTGATGTTCTGTTAATTATCGTTCATATTAGCATTAATTTTTCCTTCTGCACATCCATTAATGACCATTTTCATTGTAAAGGCAATTATGATGGTTTGTGCAGAACTAGGTACTCAGCGGTGAAGCACTTCATGCTAGATAGCATCTCAGGAGACACTTCCTGGGTTCAGTTAAACATGATCCCGACAGCATGCAAGTCAGTAAAGCTATGCAGTTCTAGTGAGCAGGTGTCTGGCAGCCATCGGAGCTGTAAGTTCTCCATGCCACCACCCGATAAAAGCACCAGACCGGGAGATTAGGCTCTTCAAACAAAAAGACAGCAGGTCAATGCAAACACTTCAGGGAATATCCAAGGAACTGGCTGCAGCCCTCATTGGAGATGGAGAGCTGGTTTAATCACCAGAACTTTGAATCTGTGGTACCATCAAAGCTAAGACAGTGATCAGACATTTGCCCTGGGAATCAAGGCCCCCCGCAGTGTATTCAAGACTCTAAGACAGACTTTCTCAAGTCCAGAAAAACAACTTGCACATAGTTCCACAAACTAATTTTAGCTTGCTTCTTGTGAGCATACAACGACTAAATTTATAGCTGTGTTCTGAACGTTTCACAGAAACCATGAAGTGTAAAACAAGCGTTCTCAGCATACGGACAATCTCTGAACAAAACTCTACATCTTGGTGTTAGAAGACCAGAAGGCAAGATCCCTCACTCGTTATGCCTCCATTAAACCCTGGTCTATCACGTGCTGGGGCTGGAGCCTGCAGTGGTACCACTTAGTTTTCCTTTCCACGGCTGTCACTGTTGGAGAACTGTAGCCAAGGTTCACGAAACACCTGACAAGACCTGCAGGCAGCTGTATCCTTTGTTCTTCTGAGCCCAGCTGTAATAACTCTGCATTTAGATACCATCAAAAGGGAAAGACTGCCAGCACAAAAGTCCTCCAACCTAACATGGCCAACTGCTCACGAGACCCATCCAGAATCGTCTCTGACCTTACTGGACTTCCGTTTTAGACAGTGCAAAGTTTCGGGAAACCATATGTCAGCAGTGGACTTCTGGTGCTTCCATAACCAAACAGCAACAGGTGCTGGATTCTCTGACACCATGGACCAGAGGTGGAGATTTCAGGTCCAGAGAGTGCAAATCCAGACCAAGATTTAGTTTCAACCAACCGGTTGAGTATAAAGAGTCACAGTCACAGAGTACTCAGCTGGTTGGTTGAAACAAAATCTTGGTCTGAATTTGTACTCTCTAGACCTGAAATCTCCACCTCTGCTATGGACAGGGTATAAATACACAAGTAGCCAGACCTCACTTTTCTTGGAATGCAGGGACCATTTAACCAAATTTCCCAAAAAGTTTATTATTATTATTAATAATAATAATAATAATAATAATAATATTTGTCTCCTATGTCAAGCGAAGGCCAAGACAGGTTTATAAATGTGAAAGAATTATTTATTATTATTATTATTATTATTATTATTATTATTATGTTATACACCTGCCACTGCAGGATAAGCGGCAGGCAGAAGGATCGTTTCATTCAGCAGCTCTCCACATAACCCGTGTGTTAATCACCCCCTTTAGCCTGTGTCTGCCATGGCATGTCTGATTCTCTGTGCATACAGCTGGAGCACCACGTCAGGAACGGATCCTCCATGTCCGGCACACAGAAGAGCCTAATGTAGCACAAACTATTGCACAAAATAAAGGAGCAGGACAGACGTGTACTTATGCCTTTTAATACGCAGCAGAAGAGAATACTGGCACAGTAGATGATTGCGTCCAGCACCATTAGCCTGGGGAGTGTCTGAGGAGGAGGCAGCGGGACAGATGGGAGAGGACAGGGGGACAACCAGGACAGCAGGGAGAGGACAGGGGGACAGAGAGGACAGGGAGACAACGAGGACAGCAGGGAGAGGACAGGGGGACAGAGAGGACAGGGAGACAACGAGGACAGCAGGGAGAGGACAGGGGGACA